CTTTGCCGCAAAATCCTAATAAAGATCCCAAAATCAATGACATTCTCGAGAGAAATGCCAAAGTTTTCGACGGATTGGGAAAACTGAAAGGACAGACCGTCCACCTAAACATTGATCCCAATGCTAATCCTAAAGCTCAACCACAGCGCCGCATCCCTTACCACATCCGAAACAAAGTTAAAGATGCAATCATAACCCTTGAAAAAGACGACATAATCGAACGAGTGCCTGAAGATGAACCAACCCCCTGGGTCTCTCCTATTGTCGCCGTGTCAAAAAAAGACGGCGGAGTGCGTATTTGTGTTGACATGCGACAAGCGAATGAGGCGATCAAAAGGGTCCGACACCCGATACCTACGGTTGATGACGTAAGATTTGAACTGAACGGCGCGAAATATTTCTCGAAATTGGACTTATCCCAGGCGTACCACCAACTCGAACTCGATCCGAAACGCCGACATATCACCACATTTAGTACACACATCGGGCTATATCGCTATAAACGTTTAAATTATGGGACAAACGCTGCCGCCGAGATTTTCCAATACACGCTTCAGACACAATTACAAGGACTCGTCGGAGTCAAGAACATAGCCGACGATATTATCGTTTATGGAAGTACTCGCAAGGAACACGATGAAAATCTAGACAAGTGCCTACAACGTCTAACAACCCGAGGATTGACCCTCAACGCCAGTAAATGTAAATTATTGAATCCCACATTGGAATTTTTCGGTCAAATCTTCTCTGCCGATGGCACGCGACCAGACCCTCAACGAGTCGTCGACCTCCAGAATGTGGCCACACCCACCACTGTCCAAGAAGTCCGAAGCCTTCTTGGTATGGCGAACTACAGCAGTCAATACATCCCCAACTTTGCAACAATCACTGCCCCCCTCCGTCTCTTAACGAAAAACGACACACCATTTGTGTGGACCACGGCACATAAAACGCGTTCGACAACCTGAAAGCCGCTCTAACGTCAGCTCCATGCATGGCGTATTTCGACATCCATAAAGAAACATTTGTTGTCGTCGACGGGAGCCCTGTCGGGGTATCGGCTATCCTCTCACAAAAATCGTCAAATGTCGCAAATTCCAAAGTCATTGCTTACGCCAGTCGTGCCTTATCGCCCGTCGAAACACGTTACTCCCAAACCGAACGAGAAGCCCTCGCTATTGTCTGGGCTGTCGAACATTTCCACATGTTCCTGTTTGGACATCATTTTACGTTGGTAACCGACCACAAACCCCTTGAAATCATTTACGGCACCACCAGGTCGAAACCGTCTGCACGTATAGAACGTTGGGTTCTGCGATTACAACCGTACCACTTTAACGTCATCTACAAACCTGGTGCCACCAACCCCGCTGATTATTATCACGTCATCCTGCATCACCACGCATGTCACACCCGGATCGCATGGCTGAAGAATATGTCAACTTCATTGAACGACACACTGCCCCCCGCGCCATGCCACTCGACGAAATTGCCACAGCTACACGTGCAGATAAGACTCTGTCCACGCTCGTGACTTGTTTACGTACAAACAAGTGGTCCACCGAAATTCTGACGTCATTCAAACACATCAAAGACGAATTGACAGTCACTAACAACGGCATTATCCTGCGTGGACATCGAATTGTCATCCCCCAAGCTTTACAACAACGCGCGATCGACATCGCCCACGAGACGCACCTTGGTCTAACCAAAACTAAAGCATTAATTCGCGAAAAAATCTGGTTCCCGAATATCGACGCCATGGTTAAAACAACTCTTGATCGCTGTTTAACTTGCCAAGCCCTTGGCCGACCCGGCCCACCAGCACCAATCACCCCCACCACCATGCCTGATGGACCTTGGCAAACTGTTCATGTCGACTTCTATGGTCCTCTACCCACTGGAGAATACCTTCTTGTCGTTGTAGATAGATATTCTCGGTTTCCCGAGGTCGAAATTGTCCACTCCACGAGAGCCTCTACTGTGATACCAAAACTCGACAAGATCTTTGCCGTTCATGGCATTCCTACCCTTCTCAAAAGCGACAATGGTCCCCCTTTCAATGGCGAAGAATACCAACGCTATCTCACTGCCCTTGGAATAAAGGCAATCTTCTCTACTCCCAAATGGCCCCAAGGCAACGCTGAGGTAGAACGCTTCATGCAACCCTTGGGCAAATCCCTGAAAGCTGCTAAACTTGACGGTCGTCCATGGAAACAAGAGCTAAGTCGTTTCCTGTTGCACTATCGCACCACACCGCATTGTACCACTGGTGTTCCGCCCTCTGAACTGTTATTTAATCGCCAAGTTCAAGGAAAACTTCCTATTTTACAAAACGCAATCTCGTTAACCGTCACAACGAGGCTCGGGAAAAGAAAGGTGAAAGACAACAATATAACAAACGTTACGCTGATGAAAAGAGAAACGTTAGAGAAAGCCCAATAAAAGTTGGCGACTACGTTTTGTGGAAGCAAGAGAGACGGAACAAACTCACCCCTAATTTCAATGAAACACCCCACATTGTCATCTCGCGAAACAACAACACGGTGACAGCACGTAGTCAGACAGGACACACTATAACTCGCAATGTATCACACTTCAAGCCAATACCGAAGCCAAAGATTGATGTTCAAGTCGACGACGACGATGACAGTGAAACGTATGACGCGGAAAGGACCGAACGAGACAGAGTTGACACTAGTAACCCTGAGCCAAGACGATCGACAAGGAATGTCAGGCAACCAGAACGATATGGCGAGGGAATTCCCTCGTCGGTAATTAGATAAAAAAAAGGGGAGTGATATAGTAATGACGTCATGTCATTCACTCGGTACCAGGACTATACGGTCGGAACTAATTAAATATATATAGATAGGACACGTTGTGTAGAAGGGACACACACACACACACTAAAACACCAATAAGAACTATATCGTTATGTTATACTAAATATATTCTATAGCACAAATATATACCTAGTACTTAGATATTACACTCCAGACTCCAGGCCCAGTGGAATGTCGGTCGTCCCCGCACAACCTTATAAGAAGTGTGCTAGGAAGAAATGTCTTCCAGGAGATATCTTTGAGCCAGCTATATGCTCGATCGACAGACCTGGTAGCGGAAAACCAATCGATTCACCGATCTCCCGGAAGACTGATGATGATTTTAAAACAATAGCCCCTCTAAAATTGGAGCGGGAATAAAGTATCCCGTACTTGTAGCGAAATATATAAGCAAGAGAAGAAAAGATGTACATGTACAGTACTAGAGGATTTCAACCCACCATGTTTAGCCAAATGCATGGAAACAGACGTCGCATGTTCCTCTCTATTGTATTCAGTCATGTGGTCATACCATGTGGGCGAGGTGAATACTTCGAGTGTACGTAAAGGGATTGCAAATGCTCGTTTTGTTTCAACAGCTTCTTTTAAATTTCTATGAATAAATAAAAGGCACGGTAAAAATGCAAAAATAAAACTGAGAGTTACAGTCACTAATATCCGAGCACAGCAAATGTAAGGTACAATGTACGTGCTTTCATACAAAATAATTTGTATTATTTTGGGTTCTGACAATGGAAAATTTGACCGTATATTTACGTCATTATATATATATGTATGGCGAAGTGGAAGTCAAATCTGAACATCACTAATATCAAGGTGGTAACACAATTATAATAGAATGGTCGTTAATAACATATCCTGCAAGACGTTAGCGAGAAAAGCAAATGTTAAACAGTACCTGGAACAAAGGCATAAAAATTGTTTAATCTGGAATGTCCATCGCTTGTGGTCTAGAACTGTTAAATTTTTACTATTCTTCAGCAATAACTGGCACATACTTATCTACAACGAAAAGAAAATTATTGAAGTGTAAACCCTGTATTTGTAACGGTGTCCAAGTAAAAATTTTGTCAAGAGTGACTTTCCTGGCCGGAAACCTATTCTTCTCATGAAAATAAGAGTCAGTATACTGTAATACTTTAAATAAATATATTTACATAAGTTTTATTAAAAGTGACGCTTCGTCTTCACTCAAGACATCTTCAGACCAACAGTAAAATTAAAATGAACTATGAACAGAATTTAGTCACTACTGTTGTATATTTCATTACAATGAAGGTATATTTTAAAAATTACAACCACAGACATACAGTAGAAAAGAAGAAATGAGTGTGATGGCGGGAAGTAGAGTAGGAAAAGAGGAACAGAACTTGGAAATTAATTAAAAGACTTTTGCGAGTTAGAAGTTCATCAGGGATGGCGCAGCCGTGCAGGAACCCAAAGAATTTCGATGTCATCAACGGAAGCTGTGTGGCAGAGTGTTACTGAGATGTGAAAGAACGCTTATGAGTGTGGATGCCTGTGGAAAGGTAAGTTTTAAACTTTTTTCAAATTGTGTTTCTTCGTTTTTTTATACGATCAACATTTAATCACAGAAGGTACTAAAACAACCAGGGCGAAGCTCGAGTGATTAGAATATTTTTTATTCTATGTAAGTCTGTTTCTAAGTCCAAGAATATACCCCGTATAGAAACAAATATTTAAATGTCTCAAAATGTTGAATTGTTGATACATAAAATTATACAGTATACAGTGTAGTAACTATGTAGATCTATCGAGCCTGGCTAAAATGTATTTCATATGGCATTGTTGGGTAACTTGAACCCCCTGATCCAGGGTAGGCAACTTGTTGATAAGCTTCAAAGAAGTCTCGCGTTGCTGTGTACATGTCACTCACCAATCGCTCAGAGTCTTTGCAATTTGAGTAGAAGAAGAGTAAATAACTGAGCAATAAATGAATTGTGACGATATCTGGATGTTGGCTTGCTTTAAGTTTGACCAAAATGGCATCAAAATCTTCTCTTCGAACATCATACTTCAATAATAAATAATTAAAAGTTACTTCCATGCAATTTCTTACAGTAATTAATAAAAGTAATAATTACTGTAAGTAAGTATTAATTGTTTAAATTGCACAACTCTAGTACTATACTACACAATGTATGCATTCAGCACGAAGCATAAGAAATGAATGTTTAATCAATGTTTGTAAATCGGATAAAGATTTGTCCTGATTTACATAAACTTCAGCTTTGATTTTCTCGACTTAGACAATGTTTATTTTTAAAATTACTTCGCCAACGAACTCATAAGATGGGTCGTTTTTAAAGTACGATAAAACATTCGCATCCGATCTGTATCTGATACACAAACTCTCGCCTTCGGCTTGAGTTTGAATATCAGACACAGATCGGCTGCTCATGTTTTATCTAGTACATATTCACTTCGATAAGATCTGATCAGGGGCGGCGCTACAGAGGGGTGTAGCGGGGGACACCCCCCCCCCCCCCACTCGTCAGCAAATCGGCAAATTATTATCTCAGTCGGCAAAACTGGATAGGCTAAAGATAACCACTGAAGAAACCAAAATTGACTTCCTGAATAATTGAATTCAAACCGAATATCACGACTAGCATGCATCAAAGAAACCACACATGCAGCAATGCAAATTCTTTCTAACTAAATTTGTTTGGTGGTTGTTGTTGTTCAGTTGTTGTTGCTTATTATACTGTTCTATAAAAGAGACAATAAAGCGGTCGGTCTTCAACTAGCGAATTTTTTCGCACGAAGCGACCTTTTCCTTTGTCGGTATCACTTATTACGTCAGCAAGACGTGGCAAAATCAGTCCTCGAAAACGAGGTCGGCATTCCAAGGTCAGCAAATTTTTGCCGACCTTAATTCAACCAAAGTAAGAATTTTTTGGTGCTGGTAGCTGCTAAAAAGTCAGCGATTATAGAATTCGATTCGTAGTTCGATTAACTGAACACACTGCGGTGTAAGGTTTAAAAATTGATGGGTATTGTGTATATACGTTAGGTGTCTGAAGATCAAATTTCGCGCGTCCAGAGTTAAAATTTGGCTTCAACTTTCGAATTTTCCGGCTGGAGTTCAGGACCCAAGCACCCCCGCGCGCTCGCTCATCGTAGCCACTGATCTATATAAATACACTGTAGTGTTGCTATTTTTAGTACATTATTTGCGCCTGAGTACGTGGCTGGCTGGAGGTAACGTTCCAGTTATATTCCGATTTCAATGATGCGTAAATGCGTGATTACTAGTGCTCCAAGACGTGAAACAGATTTTAAGAAATGCCGAGACGTGCCGACCTAGGTCAGATTTGGGTCGGCCCTTTTTCGCCGACCTCAATTTTGACGGTTTTCGAGGGCTACAAAATGGATGCCGACAAAGGAAAAAGGTCGCTTCGCGCGGAAAAATTCGCTAGTGGAAAACCGGCTTAATAGAGGGTAATAAAGAGCATTTAAACATGCACATTTACTATAGGCTAATCCGCCAATGACTCGGCAAAATTACCAAACAACAGTCGGCAAAAGATCACTCACCCCCCTAACCCAAGAGGGTTAGCGCCGCCCCTGGATCCGATATGCATTTATTTAATTGATACAAAATTTAATTTGTAAATAACACCTCTCTTTGTCGGATCCAATGTCCTCGAAGAAATGCTTGAATCTTTAGGGCACTGACAATTTGTCTTCTGTGTTCCTATTGCAAATCAATAAAATATTGTGAATATTGGGTACCTCCTAGACTCCAAGTCTGCCTCAAAGGACGTTTATACAGGAGGGAAAAGAGATTTCATAACCCAAATAAAAACCTCTTGTCCCTCATTTATACCCCAAATAAAAACCCTTTGAGAGGCAGACTTAAAGCGAGCTAGTAACCTCCTCCAAAATTTTATTTCTCAGCTACTATTAATAGTTGTTACGGTATATACTGTAATTACAGAACTTTTATAGTTATTAACAAATTCACTGTGTCCATAGAAATATACACTGTCAGCTCATGTTCTAGTAAAGTTATTAAGCATTACCCAATCAAGTTGCGGGTGCACTAGCCTGCATACAATAGCTGGCGATTTTAAGGTGTTGAGGTGCGGCGTTTTTCCTTTCCCAAGCCTCACCTCCCTAATTTTTCTGCCTGTGGCTATTGTGGCATAAAATTATCACTAGGACACCAATATGGTTCTCATTACCTATATCAAAACTTAAAAAACTTGCTTGTTTTGAATTAGTATAGTATGTATGTCCGATTTGAATAGTTGTTGATTGAATCGCAAGTGCGGCAAATGGGTATAATATGATATTCAATTTGACAAATAGTCATTCGATTTGGTAACTGTTTGCTCAATTTGACTATATTTTGATCAATTCCAATGATCGATTTACATATCAGTCTGCTCAATTCGAGTAAGTGTTGCTCGATTTGTATAAGTATAATTGGTGTTCAACTTGTAGCTATTGAATTTTGACAGACCAACATTTTAGGTTACAGCTGGCTGGAACCGGAACTGAGTCTATTTAAGAATCCTGGTAACTAAATATAGAGTAGAGATCCAAAAAATCAGTTATGATCCTACCTCTCGCTTTTCCCTCTCTGTTTGATTTCTATGAATCAAAGATGATCTTTTCTCCTATGAAATTAAACAAAATTGCCATTGGGTGAATCACCAATTGCACTCAATTTTAATTAACTAGCTTAATTTAAGTTAATTTTCAAGTTAGATTATTACAGTAACTTATCCAAAAAGCACAAGATGAGATTTGTATTTCTTGAAAATGTATGAAAATGTACATATACAAAAAATGTATTGTTAACATGCATGAACAACTTATGTTTAAAAGATCAAATAATATTTAAATTTCCCAACAATAATCTATTTAATTTAAAAGATTTTCAATGTTTGCATTGCTTAGCAACTTTGCAACACTAACAAACTAGCGATCTAGAACACTTCGGAACAAACCACAGTTTTTCATTTGGTACTTTGAAAAATTCATGTTGTGGCATAATATTGCAGTAGAAAATTAATATAGAATAAAATCGCTAATCTGCATTTTTTGTGTCAGATAACCTGTACAAGAAGACCATATAGTAGCTGGTACATATCATTGTGCTACTGACAATAGTTATTTTAATAGATACATTACCTGAGTTATTTTAATAAATACATCTTCCTATTATGAATGTATGGCTTAATTGGAAGTAGCAATAATTACTGCGCGGCAGGGTAAAGGCATGGTTACATGCATGCAGCACTTGCGACAGACTCCTGCAGCTGCTGATTTTTTTTTATTTAAAGAACTTTATTGGGTCATTAACAACTATATTTACAATAATTATACTAACAAATAAATTGGCAAAGATACACTAATTTAAAATAACAACTGAACAAAAGAACCCAATTGGGAAGTGCGAACAGGACTCAAAGTCCCATGCAGGGCACTTCCCCTAAAAAAGTAAGTTTATGTCCTATGGCAGGAGCAACCACGTACGAGGGTCCATGCATGTAGTGACTACACGGTTGATCAACATAAAAAATTTGAGTATTTAAATTATGATACATGAGTTTAATTGAACATTTGAAAGTTGAAAGACTCGACAAACTAGAAGGAGTAAGTATTTTACAGGTTGTGTTCCATAGTTTTACTATTCGATTAAAGTACCTGACGTTTGGAATGTTCTGGTTTTACAAAAAGGAACTTTAAGAGTTAGAGATGGATTTTGACTAAGTCAGGTGCGACTTAGTTGCACCCGACTTCAATATTGATTCAATATTCAACTTCAATATTGATTTGAGGATTGATAGCTCGGCAATTATTATACTTTTAACTATGTGAAACAAGTCGCAATCGCTGGACAAAATCTATTTGACAGCCCTCATCAGTGCAAGGTTCCAAATGAGGCCAGTTGTGCCTGGGAACCCAATCTCATAAATATTCCAATTTTAGGAAAAAAAATGGTAAAAATTGAAAAACTAGGCAACCAGAAAGCGTAAACTAGGACACCCTGATATAGGTCACAAAATCGGTTGTCAGTTTGTGTTGTGTACATGTATTCTACATTATCGTGCTGAACTATGAACTAAAAATATGAACTCAAATCAAAAGAGTCAAGCCACGTACGTTCATGTTAACCGTGCAGACAAAAACAATAGAAAGGGACTGGAACTGACGTCCAATAGCTCCTTCAATTTCTGCCATCTTGGCAAGGAGTGTGCCGAAATTTCATATTATGGCATGGATTTAAAGAATAACACGATGGTTTTATGATTGATAATTTGGTTAGCGATACGGTGAGGAATTAGCTGGGGGGAAATGGTATGAACTGTTTACAACCTTCAGAGATACTGGACATAATTGGCCGACATCTTGACTTCACTTTATTCATTGGCTGAATGACTGAAGTTCTTGCTCCAGATATATCTGGAGCTCATTGCTCATATAACCTGAAGATGATGTGATTAATGCTCAAAATAGACTTAGTAAATAGTACAATTTGGGGATTGATCACATTCTTTTTACTAGAAATGCTATTGATTCTAAACTGAATGTAATAAATACAGTATTCAGTATTCTGATATAATATACATAATTATAAACGTATAAATTTCAGCTTGTTTAGTATAAATAGTTTCATACGTTTCCAACTTTCATTTGCTGTCAATTTTTTTGTGGATGACATCAATGCCATAGGGAATTCAGTGATTCATAATCTATCTATATACGTTTGTACCTTTTTGCTTTTCCCTCCAAGAGATACCTTGGGTTTTGATTTATATTCACCTCCAAACATATTTTCATCCTTTGTCTTGAAACATCGACAGAATGAAAATGTTTAAAAGAAATTATAAATTTGTTTTAAAATATGATGACTAAGGATGAAATTATAGGTCATGTACTTCATATTAGATGAAATATAGTGGGACGGACTGCGAACAGGTAGCCCGCGTAGCTGCAGGCGTTCAGTGAACAGGGCTCGGTTGTTCAAAGGATAACGCTAACCCTGGGTTACAATTTAAAGCCCTCCGTCCCCATGGTGGACCCACAATCAACCATTTTGCCCCCAACCCCAGTCAAAGTCGCTTTACTCTAAAATATAAGCAAAACATTGGAAGAAAAATGCTAAACATTGTGTTGTAAATACCTTAGAGCCCTTAGATTTTAAAAATTTTCAAGTGGATAGCCCTATTCCAGACACTACATATTTGAGTGGTTAGAAGGCTATGCTAAACAAGTTAGTGATCGAGTTGCGGTATTTACTAACATAAACATACCATGCAAATATACTTAATTATTTTTTAAATTTAATTTTAAAAATTTCGGCTCCACAGAATTTTTTTTAAATTGTCAAAATAATTTATTATACTAAGAGAAATCATTTTTTAATATAAAATTTGGGGGCAATCACCGATGTCGTTTACGAGTTAAATTACTTTAAAGCCAAAATGTCCGCAATCTTGAAACGTCATTGTCTACGCATCTAAGGGAGTGGTCATTACTTATGGGGAGGTGGGGGTGGTAAATGGGGATAATAACTTTTTTGACCCCCCTCCAGACTGAAGGCAAACTTTTTGTGCCTTCCCCCTCATAAAAGTAGAAACTTTTCTGACACCCCGCCAGTGTGGATTGAAAAATTAATGAAACAGGTTTGCGTTGCAGGTAAAGTTAGATATTAGGGAGTGGTCATTATTTATGAGGAAGGGGGTTGGGAAATGGGAGGGGGGGGGGGGCAAACGAAGTTTTACCCTTATAAATAAGGGGGGTCAAAAAGTTTTAACACGGAGAAAGGGGGGTTCATAAAAGTTTTGGAACTTAATTAAATATCATGTCTAAAGTTCTGATTTCTATAATCACAAATAGCAAAAAAGAAGACTCTGAAAATGCTATTTCCAACGATCTAGAGACTCAAAATTTTCAAAATTTCCCTGCTCGGCGCCAACCATGGTAGCGCCTCGCGATCGTGGGAGTCGGGCCCACTACGTTTAACAAGCTTTCTACCCCCTGAGTGACCCAGTTGTGGTATTTACATAAACATACCATGCAAGTACACTTAACTGATCAGATTCGGTCTATCAACGCAGAATGTAAAGCTGTATATCCAAAAATCTGTTTCAGAAAATGCTCACATTTCGGTTCTAGGGGTGGAAAAACACAAAAAATTTTATGGGGGAGAATACCCCCGGACCCCCCTACTAGTACATACAATACCACACCAAACTTTTTGTCACCAACAACCATCTGTCATCTCTCCACACTCAATATAGATACTCAATATTTGTAGATCCCACCCCCCAGACAAGTTCTTAAAAAAACCCTGTGTTCAAATCATTTCGCTGTATGAAGGCGGGTCATGGGTTAGGGTTATGGTAGGACAAATGTTGCATTGCAAAGTAGTAACACATAATATATATTTTTTAATCATATATGATTAAATCATATTCACCAGGGTAAAACATCATGAGCTGGATTAAACAGATTGTCCTAATATCTAACTTTACCTGCAACGCACACCTATTTCATTGCTGTTAATTTTTCAATCCACACTGGGGGGGATCAGAAAAGTTTCTTCTTTTATGAGGGGGGAGGCACAAAAAGTTTGCCTTCAGTCTGGAGGGGGGGGGGATCAAAAAAGTTTTCAATCCTTATTTTCCCCATTCCCCCCCTCCCTCCCCATAATAATGACCACTCCCTTAGGACAATCTGTTTAATCTAGCTCATGATGTTTTACCTTGGTGAATATGATTCAACCATATATGATTAAAAGACCTTAAAAATATATATATATATATATTATGTGTTATACTACTTTGCAATGCAACATTTGTCCTACCATAACCCTAACCCATGACCCGTCTTCATACAGCAAAATGATTTGAACACGGGCCTTTTTTAAGAACTTAATGTCTGGGGGATGGGCATCTACAAAAAGGGACCCGATACTATACTGAGTGTGGAGAGATGACAGATGGTTGTTGGTGACAAAAAGTTTGGTGTGCATGGTATTGTATGTACTAGTAGGGGGATCTGGGGGGTCTTTTTGTATTTTTCCACCCCTAGGACTGAAATGTGAGCATTTTCTGAAACAGAATTTTGGATATACAGCGTTACATTGTGCTTTGATAGACCGAATCTGATCAGCTAAGTGTATACTACTTGAATGGTATGTTTATGTATAAATACCACAACTGGGTCACTCGTAGGAAGCTTGTTAAACTTAGTGGGCCCGACTCCCACGAGGCACAACCATGGTTGGGCTGGTTGGCGCCGAGCAGGGAAATTTTGAAAATTTTGAGTCTCTAGATCGTTGGAAATGGCATTTTCAGAGTATTCTTTTGTGATAAAAGAAATCAGAACTCTAGTACGGTGGCCCAGACGCGACATCATAAAATACATTTTGCATTTCCATGTTTCCGCATTTTCAACTTTTGCATTTCCATGTTTCCGCATTTTCATATTTTCGTATTTTCATGTTTTCGTATTTTCATATTTTCGTATTTTTATATTTTCATATTTTCGTATTTTCATATTTTTGTATTTTGTACTGTTTTAATGCACCTATCAATGTTAATCCCGAGGGTGGGGGGGTCGGGCAAGGGGTGGGGATTTGACATTTTTACAGAAAAAAATGTCAAATGCCACTCCCTCGGGACAAAAGTCCTGGGCAAAATTCCCCACCCCCGGGATGAAATTGTATTCCTGAAGTATTTAGTTTCTGGTGCACTCTATACGCCAGGTGATAGGGAAATGACATGAATACATTCAGCGGTATAATTTAAAAGTATTACAAATATAATAAACGTTTCCAAAATAACTTAAAATACTCCTTAATGGTTCATAAACCTTGTGGCATATCATGTTAGCCATATTACGTCACGTGGAGCGACTTAATAATCTGATAAAACACATGTATGCATGTGGCATTATATAATCGTTCATCTTAATTAATATTAGTATTCTTATATAATTGTTCATCCTAATTAGTACTTTTTTGTAGTCGTATTTTAAGCTATTTAAAACGCTCGGCTGCGCTTCGTGTTTTATATCTGACAAAACAGTCCTACTCGTGTTTTAAACAGTACATAATGTGAAGTTTTAACATATAAGTATAAATGATAAATCGATATTAACATAATTAATATACCCTGTAAAATGTCCAGAAATCTCCATATTTCTTGTAAAAACCACGCGCGAGACGGCGAGCGATAGGAGCGTGGAGGAAAGAGTCTGAGCACGAGGTTGCGAGCGATGAACTAGTGCCCAGTCTTCAGTTTGTTCAAAAATTGGCTCGGGTTTCTTCAGTATATCGTCTGAGATCAGTGTTAATCTGTCAAAAATCCCCACCCTCGGGCCACTCAGAAAAAAAGTGTCAGTCCAAATTCCGACCCACGGGACAAACTGATTGATCAAATCCCCCCCCCTTTGCCCGACCCCCCCCCCCCTGGGGGTTAACATTGATAGGTGCATAATTTTCATACAATACTTTTTAAGAAATTCCTCCATTGTTATTTGTTATAGTTTATATTGGCACAGGTTGTACATTATTTAGACAGTATACAACAGCGACTTTATTAAAAGTCGACTTGGTTTTAAACTATATATTTTCCTCGTTCTATCCCGTTCCTCAATTATTTCAAAGTTATTTGTTTACATGTTAATTAACTTGTTAAATTATATCGTGGTGCAGTTAAGGGCTGCAACGATCACGAAGAGACTACTATGTCTACTGTATCTAAGTCCAACCGGATGTTCTCTTGCGAGCAACATTGCAATATTGTCTATGATATTGTCCCACAATATTGCAATTTTGATAGGGAGATTGTTCTGAGCAATTTGCAAGCCGACGCGAACAAAAAGGCCGTGGGCTTTGTTGGCCAAAATTATTTCGCTTCGTGGCAGCCATGTGGGAAGTACTTGATTTGTGGTTTATTTGACTGGGAATTATAGGTACAGATACATTACTACCAAAAAAAGCGGTTCCCAAGCAAAAAACGTGATCAATGATTATCTTTTATTAAATTCATATTACAGCAAAAACATGAGAAATTTTGCATTCAATTACAATAAAAATGTCACCAAAAGTGTCAAATAGACAATTTTATTTCATCAGAACATTTGATTAAATGTGGTGTACCACAAGGTTCGATTTTGGGGCCATTACTGTTCTTGTTGTATATCAACGACTTACCCGAGTGTCTAAAAAATACACTAGACCTGGGTTATTCGCTGATGATACAAACATCACAGCCATTAGTCACACCATAGCTGATATTGAGACTGCAGCAAATTAATGTATGATTAATGTATGATCGATTCTACGGCAACGATTAATGTATGATATGATCTCATCGATACCAGACAATCAGGTTTTCGTTCACTCCATTCAACGTTGACCGCACTACTTGATATGTCAAACCAGTGGTGTTTCAACATTGATAGGGGAATGGTTAATGGTGTCATATTCTTAGATTTAAAAAAAGCATTTGATACCATTGACCATGAAATTTTATTGATGAAATTAGCATGCTATGGTGTCGATGATCAAAGTTTATTGTGGTTTAGATCATATTTGAATGATAGGCAACAGGTCTGCCATGTAAATGGAGTCTATTCTAACAAGGACTTCATCACATGTGGAGTACCACAGGGCTCCATTCTTGGTCCAGTCTTATTCTTGTTATATATAAATGATTTACCGAAATGCCTGGACCATAGTATTGCCAGACTATTTGCCGACGACACAAATATGACCTTTACAGGTTGTAACATTAAATCAATTCAAGAGCAAAGGACAAGTGATCCAAACAACATATTTCAATGGCTTTGTTCTAATAAATTGACGCTAAACGTCCTAAAAACAGATTTTATGCTAATTGGTTCACGGCAAAAATTATCGGCGCTT